AGCTTTCTTGTTGCAATTAGTGTGTGCACATGAATGCATGCACACATACACTCACATACAGGAAATGACCCAAACATTCCTTAAGAGCAGATCCCATCAATGGGTTCTGCATTATTCTTGTAATGAAATATTATGCACCAAAAGTAATGAGTGCATTTATAGCTACTAATATCAATAAGACTGACTCCCAAACACGTTAAATCGATCTAGAACAGTATGTGCATGTTTGTGTATAATGTCATTCCTTTGTCTAAAGTAACTAAATCATTTTAGGTCATTTTATGTGGCATATACATGCAGTGAGTTAAACTGTAAACCATGGGACTGAAGAACAAAATTCAGAAGTGTCAACTGGTGAGGTATAGAGTACAGAACAAGATGAGAAAAGGGCACACACAGCATCTCAGGCAGTAGGTGTGTTCTTGTTCTTAGACGGAGTCCCGTGTACCTGTCTCCTTTATTGTAGTAATAAACATGTATGTGCTCTCCCTCTCCTCTTTCCTCTATCTGTCTCCTCTCTCTGTCTACACACACACACACACATACAGAGAGAGAGAGAGAGACAGAGAGACAGAGAGACAGAGAGAGAGAGAAACATACATTCTTTATTTCATAACTTTAAAAAGCTCCTTATAATGATAGGAAATGCATTTGTTTATATACAATTAAAAGAGCAAACATTGGTATCATACAAGAGTAAAATATTTGACCTGAGTTTTATGTTGAATTTGTACCTTTTGCATTCTAGACAACAAAGTCATTGAGGGGTTGGAGAGCAGGTCTGATGGCACAGTAAGTGTCAAAATGAGAAGGACTTTAGTGTTCGTCTTACAAACTCCATCCATCATAGAGATGAGCAAATTGAGGCTCTGAGGTCCGAGTGATTTCCACAAACCCACTGAGCTCATCACGAGGAAACTGAGCACTAGAAACAAGTGTCAGGGCTCCTGTGCACGTGATTCTCAGGAGGTCTTTGCCCAGTCACTATATCATGGGTGGACTCTCAGGTACTCATGGCCAAAGAGGCAACCCAAGCCTACAGGAGTCTGGAAGGAATAGGTCTCAGTCATACAGGGTGCCCATTAGGTGCTGGGCTCCATGGTGGGCACCTGCATACTCTGGTGTCATTAACCCCCTGGGCTTTTCTACGAGGGCAGTGCTCCCATTATACTACTCAGAGAAGGGACCAAGTCTCAGGGAGAAAGAGCATGGGTACTTGATGCTCAAAATAAATTCTTCCCCGTTTTTAATCACCAAGGACAGGACTTAGAACAGGCCTGTCGTTTCTGCAGGTAGGAATAATACTGAAGTCTCAAACACTTCAACGGAGAGAAGTGAGAATGCCCTGGTCAATTCCCAAGGCTCTTTATAGAAGGAAGAAACTGTCTGCAAAGTATGGTAGGCATTTGATGTGAGGATTCATCAGCTAAAGAAGATGTATGTACACATTTACATTATACGTGTGCATATGTGTGTAAAATCTATTGAGTTGAAAACTGGTGTCATTGTTTTTCCAGCATAGTAAGAGAATTTATTTTTAATGCCATCATGTCTGCTATCAGCTCAATAAACACCTCCACTTCTTACTTTCAAAGTTGATGACATTCTCAGACACACAAATGACTTGCTTGTTACCAGTGTATCTTTTTTTTTTTTTCTTTTTTTGGAGAGGATTTTTGCTATAGGGCGCGTGTGCTCGCCAGACAGACAGAGAGAAACATAGAGACAGAAAGCGAGAAATCACCCCCCAGGGGGGATGGTCACGCCGCAATCCCTTCTCCTCCATTCTCCTCTCGGGATCTTGGGCACGCACGCACAC